GATGATGGCCTGCTGCGTCATACATTTGGCAGCACGCGTCTCAGCGTTCTACCTAAAGCCCGCGCTGGGATCTCTTGGCAGACTCAGGTTGTAGCATAGAAATTAGACAACAGCAGGAAAGCCATCAAAACGCTTGACTACTGCTGTTTCCCACGCAGAAGTTTCACATGTTATTTGCAAGGCAAGAGACCGCCTGCAATCTCACTGTCCAGGATTTCAATGGAAACTTACGTCGAGCTTCAGGTTGAGTCATTGCAATTATACTTCTAGGAGTAACAAGAGCTTTGACAGCAAGCTTTAATTGCAGAAGTGTGGCTCATTGAGGATCTCACATACTGATCATCATCACGCTGGCAAGTCTTGAGCTTGGCAGCAGAATATGAGCAGAGGTGGAAGCAATACGAACAGATACTGAAGCATGTGTCGCAACACTTGAACAATCATGAATCTGCAATCCCAGAGGCTGGGCTTGGCCACATCAATGTGAAATCAACTTATTTAGGGTCACTTTTGATCTGACTCGACTGTTTTAATTACCCCTGCAGCTGACGAAGCCGACTTTTAAGTCCAAATTCTACAACAAGAGCTTGAAGGGGTACCCTTCGAAGAGAGTTTGAAGAGGGCTGAATGGAAGCTTGAAGTTCCCTTTCAACAAAGGGAACGGACCACTCAGTGTTACACTCTGAGTCAGTGACGCGATCTCTTGAAAGAAAGATAAATGATCGATCGTAAGAATCCAAGTCGAGGCTGACAATGAATGCTTCAAGCCTTCTTGAAGCCTTTGACCCTTCATTCCTCCCCACGGGCTTCAGCGCTTGGAGGATTAAGACTTCCCCTTCAAGCCCCCTTAACCAAAGAGAATGTGATGAAGATCTCTTTGGTGGCGCTCGTCTGCTCTCAGATCCATTTTCGTTGCTTGTCACTGTATGCATTCCGCTATGTCTTTGTGCCATTCTTCGAGAAGCTGAATGCGAGCCTTTCGTGGAGCGATTGCCGTATCGAATTACGACCGCTGGTCAAGGTGGTGGCGGTTCCATCTCCGTGGCTGAGCTGCATGGTTCTTTGCTCTTGGAGTCGATACAGCCGTTCTTCGCAAAGGATCCGTGTGTCACACTGACGGTGCTAAAGCTTTTGTCGGTGGGAGTCCGCTGAATAACGGAACTTTGATTGAGAATTTCTTTGAAACTTGCTTGTGCCTGCGTAGATCCACATTCCAAGTTTACAGCGGTTTCGAGATCAAGTGTGGACAGGTGAAGCTTTTGAAAGCAGGTTCGGCTTACCGCGTAAACAGACTTTCTTAGGTCATCGATAACTAAGCAGGGTTTCTGTTTTAGCAACCTCAGCAAGATGAGCGGCCGAGTATGAAGATGAGCATCAGAAGCAGCCGCGCAATTGGCCAGAATTGGCCCACAATCGGTGAGCGCGCAGTTTTTCTTTGTTTAATTTCTATTCCCGTGTTCAGAGACGTGCCCGGCATTTTGTACCTCAGGCGGAAGTGTGCTCTGCTGAAGGGCCAAGCCCCCCTCAAGCCCCCCTTCAAGCCTTCCTTCGCCGAACGGTAACGGAACCAGCCTCAACACTGACTTCATTGGTGCACAAAACCCGATGTCAAATTTCTGTGGCCCGGCTTCAACTTGACCAGCTGCAGCAGAAGCTTCAAACATTAAGGACAGACTTGGATTGCGGTCGCAGAGGTTAAACTGCGTGGAGATAACCTTCAGGCACAGCCGCGCATCTGCATTTAGGGAGTATTAAGATGCTCTCTGCTTGCTGAACGTGGCTGCTACTAATTTGGCTGCGCAAGATGATAGAGTAATAGATTTCTGCGTCCTTGACCAGAAACTCACTAGACAAGAGCACAAAGACCATGCCGCTGGTTCTACTGCAGTCTTTGGACTTTTCTCTCCAATCGCTGTCCGTAAACTTTCTTTCTTCATTTTCATCCACCAACATATCCACCCGCTTCTTCTGCGAACGGTGTCTCAATCTCGAAGCCCTAGATTGATTTTAGTCATGTTAGGTTAGGCAAGTGACAGCCAGTGGTAAGGACCTTTCAAAGCCCAAGCCTAAGTGTGAGCTGGCAGCTCCTGAGACAGAGCCAGACCCATGGAGGTTGTTAGAAGTTTTAGAGGAAGCTTCTTCTCCCCCACCTAAACCCAGTGTTGGTGCCGTTCCTTCGAGCACTGTCAGTTTTCCCGACATTGCATCCGCTTCCGCCTTTACACCCTCTGTGTCACCTAACCTTCAAAATGATGCTGCTCTGCAAGTCCTTGTGCCGACTCAGGGCAATGTCCATGGAGCGGAGACGGGCTCTGACAAGAAGAACCTAAGTGTAGCAAATTCTTTGGAGCCAGATGATCGGGTTTTGGATGAAAATTCTCAGCCTGGGATAGAAGATAGCGACATTGACAATCTTCTAAAAAAGGCTGACGATCAGGTTTCAGAGTGCGGGTCATCTTCCAGCTTCTTGTCTGTGGGTTCAGATCTTTCTAGGCAGATGCGCGCAGCTGATCATGCCATGCCTTTAAACAACCAAAACAACTTGATTGCTGCCGCCCACTTGTCGTTGAGGAGCCCTCTGCCTAAACTTCTTTGGGAAGAAGGGTTTTGGGGTTCTTTCTTCAATTCTGCTAAGAAACTTGATGATGTGTTGCCACATCCATGAGACCAGGGCAGTGCAGACTCCGCAATGTTCTCCAGCAGATGATGGCGAGGAACCACAGCTTAAGAAGCCTCGTGTAACGCCTGATCAAAATTTCCATGCCGTAGTCAAAAACCGTGAGGTTGTGTCTTGGACTGAAAAGCGAGACACAGAGAGGCGCAGGGCACTGGTTCGATGGTCAAACCTAATTCTGATTTGGGAGCTTGAAGGGGATGATAGAATCCTTGAATTACAGAGGGCAAGCTCTGAACAACGGCTTGATATGCTGGAGACGTATATGGCCAGAAAAGCTCCAGCCACCATGCTTAAGAGGGCCTTCAGCTTGTTCCGTTTGTAAAGATGGCACGTCGTCATGGCCTCAAATTTCCCTGCGCTGAAGTTGACTTGTTTAATCTCATGTCCGAAGCCAAAAGTGGAGGAGCATCCTTGTCTCAACTTCGAGGCTTCATGGAAGCCTTGACCTTCGCCAGGTTTGTCTTCGAGCTCGAATCCTTCAGGACACCGTGCGCCAGCAGGAAGTGTTGGGGTTTGGGATCAGCCAAAAAGGCCAGACTTCCATCCAGGGCTGCCCCATTGCGTGTCAGTGATCTGGTCATCTTGCATTCGATCCTACGTGAGTCTGCTGACTACTGGGATAGGCTATTCGCTGGATGTTGTCTTTTCTGCGTATATGCTAGAGCAAGGTGGTCGGATGCCCAGCACGCAGGAGGATTTCAAGTCGACACTGACCGGAAGTCAGGCAAGACAGCGTTCTTTGAGGCTGTTGTTGAGGTTCGCAAAACCATGAATCGAAAGGGCAAAGAACCGGTCTGCCTGGAACTTGTGAGTCCGGGCCTCGGCATCACCTTTGATGATTGGGTTCGGCAATTCTTGAATGTTCGCGAGAAACTTGGAATCTCCCGTGCATACCCATTCATGCCTGCCCCGAACAGCTCTGGAGAGCCAACCATCAGGGCATTAGCGTCGGATGAGTGCAGCGCCTGGCTCCAGAAACTCCTCCCGGACAGAGGTGAGATGCCAACAACTTCACATAGTTTGAAGTCCACCATCCTTTCATATTGCGCAAAATACGGGTTGGGCCATGTTGACCGCCTTGCCTTAGGCGGACACAGTCATCCTTATAAGATTTCGGACACGTACGCCCGGGATGCCTTAGCGAGACCCCTAAGATTGCTTGCTGAAGTTTTGGAGGCGATAAGGGAGAAGTACTTTTTCCCGGATGAGTCTCGCGCGGGTCGATTCAAGGAAGGAATCCGGCTTGCGTGGTGAGTCAGGGTTTCCAGGAAGGTTTAGTAATGCACATGTCCCACAGGACAATGCTGCAGAGGCCGTGCAAACTGCCGTTGAAGCTGAACCCACTGCGCTGGATGATCGTGAATCGTTGGTTAGTCATTACTCCCCGAGTCTAGCTCCCAACAATGGTGAGAGTGACGATGGCAAAAAGAGTCTTGAGGCCTCTGACAGCGGTCACACTTCCAGTAGCTCGAGGTCCAGTTCATCGAGCAGCAGCGATGATTCCCAGACAGTCCGCAGGTTGAACTGTTGAACAAAGGGCCACCAGTTCCTCCAGAGGGACACAGGTTTGTGCAACACCCTGCCCTGAAGACATTGCACTTTCAAAGGCTGGAGCACACGTTGCGCGCCATCTGTGGCAGAAAGACCGAAGATGTGTATAAGGAGCCATGCCAAGTGCGCGCCACAACCCCTGTGTGCCGCAACTGCCAGAAGATTTTGAGGTCTGAGGCTGCGATTTTGCCGACATGCCTGAGCAGGTAGAAGGAGTGCGATTGCAAATCGGAAGTCTTCAGAGAGGAGGATTTTCTGTGGAGTATCTCTTGATAACTCTTTGTCAGTTATCGTCCTCAGTTCTGAACTTCCATTCCGGGACCCCGTCTCGGGTCCCGTTGGAAGGAATCAAATTCGCCATACCACATGTTCATGGGTACGCTGTGGAGTTAAGATTTGTGATGCCCCCGCCTCGGGCTCAGAACGCTGAGCCACATGTTCATAAGATACATTGTGGAGGTTTTGATTTGTGACGACTTTGTTCAGCTGGTGAATCTTTGTAAATGCCTGTTATAGTCATCAGATCAGGGCCTGCCGTCCGGGGCCCCATCTAGGGTCCCGCCGGGAAGTGCCAAATGCAATACCACATGTTCATGGGTTGCACTGTGGGTTTGAGATTTGTGATGACCCTGCCTCGGGCGAAAGTCGTCAGGCCCCACCTCGGGCAAAGTCATGTTGTGCTTGACTGCGCCTGGCTGGAACGTTGCATCGTTCACTCATACTCTTGATAATCCTCCACAAGAAACCCTGGGCTCGAAATTGGAGGGCAGCCATGTCTCTGGTTGACTCGGAGGCTTCCTTCAAATCGCGGTGCATTGCGGTAGGGGGCAATGAAGATCTTTGGAACTCCTTGAAGAGGCACAACATCAAGACGTTTTCTGACCTGTCTTTTGCTTGTGGAACTCCGCAGGCACCACCCAGTGATGAGGCTTTTCGCTTGTTTTCCGAAGATATCTTCGGAGCGGCGCTTACCTTGGGCCAGACGTCGAAGTTGAGGCGCCTGCGTTTTGAAGCCGGGACAGTAATTGGCACACTTACGCCAACAAGTCACTGGCGATTCCAGTGAGACACCTAAAAAGCTGCCGATGGCGGAGAAGGTGGCACGCTATCTTGAACTCATGCAAAGCTAGGCTACCTGGCCTTCTGTTGGAGGATGAGCTTCTACCTTCTCACGAGCTCGTGGATGCAGTGGCTCAAATGGTGGAGGCCAATCATCTCACCTGGCTCGCACATCGCGCTGCACAAAGAGAGAGCAGGAGCTTAGGATTGGCGTGAAGCAGAAAGACAAAGTCTTAAGTGTGCTTGATAATGCGGTGACGCTCACTGCTCTGCCAGACAAGCTGACAGCAGATCATTCCTCTCCGCTCCATTTGCAATGGTGCCTCCAAAGGCGAGGATTGGCACTTGATATGTGCCGCGTGCTGAGTTGGCACACGCGCGAAAAGTGGCTAGCTTTCTTGCTGCAGGCCCTCACTCGCGAAGTGCCGCAAGGACCCGTGTCCATAAACCAGTTGTTGCGTGCGGACTCGGAGATGTTTCTCCTCATCTCCAAACAGGTTACGTCATTGAAGCCTGATTCAGCTGGGGTCATGCAGGTTGACCAGGCCATGTTGCAGCTTAAGACCGATCCAAGGGTGACCATGCACTTGCTTCCATTGCCCAAGTCTGCAGCTCCCGCGTCAGCCCCTGCTGAGGATGATAAGCCTCCTGCGCCCCACCACCAGCAACGTACTAGAACTCGCACGCCTGCCAAGAAGAAGGGCCTGCTGGCCGCGGTTAAGACAGAAAACTTGCCTGCTGAGCTGAAGAGTGCCAAATTCCTCACTTACCATGACAATCGCAGGCTTTGCTGGAGCCACAGTTGCGAAGGATGCAAATTGGAAGCCACTGGGCAGCCGCCCGCCTGTCGCAAAGGCGTCCACGCATGTGCTTATTGCCGCAAGCCTGGCCACGGAGCCAGGAGCTGCTGGAACAACCCTCCTTCGCCAAGCTTCAAGTGCAAAGCATCAGGCGCCGCCCAGGAGTGACAGTTGTTCGCCGATCACCCTTCCACAGAAGCGGTGGGTGAGACAGGCAACGTCAAATCCTTCCAGTTTTGTTTTGAGCCTCAACGTGTCTCTGACCCCATAAGCGGGGATGCCGAGCGGCTAGCCGCACAGTTGCTGGCCCAGGGCATGAGTGATTCTGAATCCTTAATTAAACTTGCCAATCTTTTCCGTAGCTCGGGCAAATCCTGATCAGCCATCAGGGAAGTTCTTCTTAAGCGGTGCATATGTTCATGGCGGAGTCTCTGGACTCAGGAGAGTGACCCAGAGCTTTCCTGCGGCAACCAGATTACTCGCAGCTTTGGCGAAGCGTCTTTATAAGCCAGGGTTTTGCTTTTCCACCTTGGGCTTGTCATACAACAACTTGGCTCCACGCCATGCGGACAGGTTCAATGCTCAAGGTTCGGAGAGTGGCCTGGCAAAACTCTCCCCTTTCGAGCGAGGGGGATTGATTTTGAGCTCAGCAAGCCAACCTGAAAGCCTTGCCTTTGAAGGTAACACGCTCTACTTTGACGCCCATCAGCCTCAGGAGACTGAGCCTTGGGCCCAGGGTGAACGTTTGGTTTTGGTTGCTTACACCATGTCTGGCCTTGACAAGTTGCCGTCGCAGGATGCCCGCGCGTTGTTGCAAGCAGGTTTCTCCCTTCCGGGACAGGCCGGCGCAGCCATGCCTACACCTGTGAACTCTGACCAGCCTCGCCGTCAACCTGACTCGGGGCCTCCTGTCCCTAATCCAGACCACCCTAATAAACCTTACAAATCCCGGAGAAAGCCAGAACTGAGGCCAAAGGTTCAGCGAGCTCAGGGCCCGGGCCAGGCAGGAGTGCTTTCAGCAGAGCTTGGCGTCACCATTGAGGTCTTCTGCGGCGCTGCGCGATTAAGTGTTGCGTTGCAAGAATTGGGCTTTGAGACAATCGCAATTGATCACATTGCCAAGTCAAATCATCCTGTCCAAACGCTCGACTTGACCGACCCGGAACAAGCCAAAATCCTGGAAGAAATTATCGAAAATCAGGCAGAGCGGATTCGTCTCATCCATTTTGCCCCACCGTGTGGGACGGCCAGCGCCAAGCATCTACGGCTCAAGCCTTGTTTTCCCGTTTGGGAGGGGTGTAGCTTGCCAGTTCCTGTGTACCCGAGCACGGCCGTGCGGGGGCACAGACGGGTGCATCCTCAGAGGGTGTACTGCGTAGCTAGCGGGGGGTAAGTAACTGCCATAGGAGGGTACTGGCATCTGTGTTGGTCAGTACCTTTCTTTTTCTGCTGCTGTCTGCAAATTTTACAAAGTTCACTGGGTACGCAGTTGGGCCGATTTCCATCT